GCATGCACCACTATCCCTGGCTCAAACTACCAATTATTTAATCAACCACATCTAGTAATTAAAGTACAACTTAAACTCCTTAAAACAGCAACAATCTCACAACAGAACAGCTTTTAGAGCTCTTTGGGGTTGCAGATGGGTGAAATGAGGGCAGGCTGGTGTATCTGGAGAACCAAGATGTGTCAAGTTCTCTCTTCTAACTCTTCTGGCTATTGCTGAGTGTACACTTTTATAATAATTAGGTATCAATAAAGCTCTCTCCGGAGTCTGTGAGCTCTAGCAAATCATCAAAGCCCTGCCTGGGAGTATGGGAGCCTTTGATTTCTAGCCAAGTCAGAAGTTGTGGGTAACCTGGGACCTACTAATGATTGGCCTCAGAAGTGGAGTTAGTCTTCTGGGACTGAGCCCATAATCTGTGGTGTCTACATTGACTCTGATTAATGTCAGAACTGAACTGGTTTGTAGCATGTCCAGTAGCTGTCTTTTAAAGAGAGAAATTGTTCAGTATTTCTCCATTCCCCCTCCCCCAAATGGTGTTAGATAATTGAACACAATATGAATGCAAGGAAAAGAAATCGGTTTTATGTGCCTCTACACAAAGGCCTATTGAGTGGTCCAGCAGAATCTATAAAAATAAAGCCGTACCAAACACTTCATTGTGAATTTCAGCTGTAAGGGACAAGACAAGTACTGAAAGCTTCCAGATGCGGCAGGCAGCGGGAGAGTCACTGGAAGGATTATATTCCTCCAAAATAGTATCAGAAGCAAGAAGTCAATGTGTAGAAGGATAGAAAGGCAGGAGAAATTCTTGGGGCACGAGAAGGTAAAGAGTCCCTCATCCGGGAATCTGGTTGAAGCTTCTTGCTTGCAGAGAAGCAAGAAGTCCGGAGAAGTTAATACCCGCTGAAGGTCTTTCTCCTTTCCAGCCATGAATCTACAGTTTTCCAATATGCTCAGCAGAAACCTCTTTGAGAAGGGAAAAGCACATACTAAACACCTTTGTGAACCCTGGTGCCTCTTGCTTTTCCTTATCAGATTCCAATTCCATCCAAGGCTCCCCTGGAACTACCTTAGCATCTATTAAAAGTGAGAAAAGTGGGGGTAAAGTTTCTTAACCATTCGAGGAATAACCTTGAGAGCCACCAAAATGATTTCTATGGCTAATGCTAAGACAATGAACTGTGATCTTCTCTTAAGAAATGCGTGTCAGCCGGGCGGTGGTGGCGCACGCCTTTAATCCCAGCACTTGGGAGGCAGAGGCAGGCGGATCTCTGTGAGTTCGAGGCCAGCCTGGTCTCCAAAGCGAGTTCCAGGAAAGGTGCAAAGCTACACAGAGAAACCTTGTCTTGAAAAACCAAAAAAAAAAAAAAAAAAAAAAAAGAAATTCGTGTCCTTGTGGGTCTGTCTTACAGTCTCTCACTTCCCCTTGAGAAGCAAATAACATCACTTGGGTGTATCTTACTTCATTTCTGAGTACCCGCCTTTTCTTCTAATCCTCACACTTAAGCCTATATTAAGATATATTCAACCACCCCTCCAACTTTGGTGCAGTACACTGGATAATCTTAAATTTCATTTTGACGTTGAAGCCACAAATCTGTTTGGCCCCAGTCAATGCCCCTAAAAGATGAGAGTAACTCCTCAGGTAGATTAGAATGGCAGAGTGGGGCTTTGTCTCACCCTTCTCACCTCTGACAAGTGGGATAACCCTTTACCATCATGGGAGAAAATCATTTACAGTTAAGAGTAAAGACAATTTTAGACTTAGACTTTGGATAGTTAGCTTCCAAACTGCTACTAAGAATATGCTCCACAAAAATAAAAGAGTAAATGAACAATGAAGATTAGATCTTGGAACAGGAGTCCCAGATCCAAGTAGAAGGCTAAGAGTCATCTGGGGTCTAGAAAAGAGCTATTCAGACTGGATAGGTCAGAGTACTGAGCGAGTTATGTCAGAAACATAAATGAACACATTTGTGCCTTTCTATAACATCAGACCATTGAATAATAATAAATTCATGACCTATGTAAATTTTGCTGCCTTTAATTCTCTAAGGACTACTGATTTTACTTGGTAGAAATGGCCATTGGCAACTACAGATGTTTTCTTCCTATTTTAATTGCTAATATTAAATCTCTTATCACCCATTACACTTCACAAAATGTTGTGCTCCTGTGCCTGTGCGTGTGCGTGTGTGTGTGTGTGTGTGTGTGTGTGTGTGTGTGTGTGTGTATGTGTGTGTGTGTGTGTGTGTGTGTGTGTGTGTGTGTGTGTGTGTGTGTTAGTTACAGAATGGCTACAAAGGGTTATGGAGACCTTACTGAAAGCAAGAGAAGAAAGCTGATACAGATTCAAAGGGAGTTGCTGCAGGTGGCTGGGTATTAATACAACAAAGTCAGTCACAGAGCTGTTCTGAGGCACAGGCCTGTTTTAAGACACAAAGCTGAATCCATATAAATGGCAATTCAAGTGGGCCTTGTCAAATGGGGATCCTGGTGAGTAGAAGCCATGGGCACATCAAGGAGTTTGTCACCTGTCAATCCCAGATGGTGAGGTGATAGGTTTGTTGGTGGTTAACATACACCCCTGTGTCAGGACCACCCCCCTTTTTTATATGATCCAGGTAAAGCTGGGTGGTGGTGGTAAATGTCATTCTTTGTTGATCTGATGTGTTTGGCAAGTTAATATTTTTTTCTGTTGTGGTTTTGATATATTCATTATATCTACATATTCCTGATTTAATTGGTAAGTTAAGTTTGCAGATAGTAGCATTCTATTTGCACAAATAAATTATTTATCAACCTGTGCCTTCTTGTTTGTGCTGGACAGATGGTAATTACTTATGTGCACAAACAAGGAGGGGAGTCACTCTGCTTCAATATTTGTCCTCAAAATGAGGAAAACTACTGTTCTGTGAAATGGAGTCACTCCAGGCAAGGCACATCCTGAAAATGACTGTTCATTCAGTAGAGTGACTTAGGGTAGGGCACAGCCTGACAGTGACTGTTCATTCAGTAGAGAATGACTTAGGGTAGGGTACAGCTTGACAGTGACTGTTTATATAGTAGACAGTGACTTAGGGTAGGGCACAGCCTCATAGTGACTGTTTGTGCAGTAGAGAGTGACTTAGGGTAGGGCACAGCCTGATAGCCACCATTACCATTGAGATGAAAGTGATGTAAGTACATCATGTACTTGGGACATTTGAGCAGAACTTAAATGCTTGGAAAAATGTTTGTAGATGAGTCAGTGAAACATACAATTAAATAGAAATATTATAATTCTTAAGTCAAAGTAAAACTAAAATATCTTTCAACAGGGAAGGAAGAGTTATTTTAGATTACATAGGCCCTGGCATTTACATAAACAAGTACATGTAATATGGTAAGTATTAAACAATAGTCTAACTAAACTTATACAATGACACTGGAAAGTTGGTTGAGTTCAGAGAGGTAGAATCTTCATTTCCATAAAGGAAACCATACCAATTAGTCTCAAAACAGAAATATCACAGGTAACTGTATGAGTGGTAACTCTGAAGAACAGTGTGAAAAAAATCTGTTGGAAAGGGTCACCTCTAGAGATAGATAGATAGATAGATAGATAGATAGATAGATAGATATAGAGAGAGAGAGATAGATAGATAGATAGATAGATAGATAGATAGATAGAGAGAGAGAGAGAGAGAACACACCTGTGAGTGAGGTGAAGGTATAAAGCTGAGTGGTATCACTAACATGTAAAAGAGCTACATGCATTTATAATTCAGTGAAATTAAAACAGTAAATTGAACAAGGCAGCAGAAAAAAAAGACCATTGCCACCAACAAAGTACATGTTTGCAGTGATAACCTTTTTGTACACTGTGTGAAGAGGTGTCTCTGTTTTACCTCACTTGCCTAAGGCACCTCCTGATTGGTTTAATAAAGAATGGAATGGCCAATAGTTAGGCAGGAGAGGGTAGGTGGGACTTTTGGGCAGATATAGGAATTCTGGGAAAGAATCTGAGGCAGGAGATTCCTCAGCCAGATGCAGAGGAAGTTGGACCTAAGTACTGAGGAGAGGTAATGAGCCACATGGCAGATTAATATAAACAGGTTAATTTAAGTTTTAAGAGCTCGTTGGGAACAAGCCTAAGCTAAGGCCAAGCTTTCAAAGTTAATAAAAAGTCTCTGTGTCGTTATTCGGGAACTGGCAGTCCAAAGAAAGACCTGTTACACATGTTGTTCAGTTAGAGTTCTGCCCAAGTGATTTCTTCTTTAAGAACTCTGACATTGATCTTTTAGCTAATCTTTCAAGATTTATTTTTAATTCATTTCTGTGGAAAAGAAGAACACTCAGGTAATGGTATCTAGAGCATCATCTGGACTTCAGGTGAGTAAGTTGTTTTCCAGCAAAAATGATTTGTAAAGAAAGAATGATTTACAGATCTGCTGTGTGAGAGTAGTAACAGTTATTTTCAGTACTGTTGTGTCTCCAGAAAGCTTCATCATCCCGGGGCATCTTCAGATAGTTCTCAGCACCCTCCTCCATCTTTCTATGCTGGAGCCCACAACACCTGCACACATATCCAGTGAAAGGGTTTTCTGTTTCTAAGTATCAATTTACCTGATGAATCAGGAGTGGAAATGGGCTCACTGAATAGCAACCTTGATAAAAGAAATAGAAAACATTTCAACCTTGTGAAACCCCAGTGCAAATTTACATGAAAGTTGTTTATATGGCTAAGAAACAAGTGCCATGTTTGCCAGCTTGTGTGTATGTCACATACCTAGGTACATCAAGGGAGTTACTGATAGACGTCTGTTTTCTCTTCTCAGATATTTGAAATTACACTTGTGCAAGCAATAATGAAGCTCTATTTTGTTAGATATTACTTAGAGATGTTATTAACCTTGTTATAGACTATCTCATGAACTAATTCTTTTCTTTGTAATTTGTATTACTTTCTTTTCTAGTTGCTGTGACAACAAACAAAGGCAGTGAAAGGAATGAAGGAAAGAAGGGAAGAAGGAAGGAAGGAAGGAAGGAAGGAAGGAAGGAAGTCATTTGGGCTTACAATTGAGGTTACAGTCTATCATGATAACCAAGTCAGGACTGCAAGAGTGTGAGACAGATGGCTGGTCACATTGCATCCACAGTTAAGAAACAGATAAACTGAACCCTGCTACTCACTTTCTCCTTCCATCCCAGTCCATGCAGTGGTGTTGCTCACATTCAGGGTGAGTATTAAATTGGGGGCTTGATTACAGTTTTAGAGGGTTAGTCTATAGTTATCATGGCTGGAAGCAAACAGGCATGACATTGGGGTAGTAGCTGAGAGCTTTACATCCGGATCCACAGCCATCAGGCCAAGAGAAGACCTAGCTTGGGCTTTTGAAACCCCTCACTCCCAGTGAGACACCTCCTCCAACAAGGCCATACCTTCTAATCCTTCCTGAACAGTTCCACTCCCTGGTGATAAAGCATTCAAATATATGGTCCTATGGGGGCCATTCTCATTCAAACGACCAAAGTCTTCCAACTTCAGTTAACTTAATCTAAGAATTCCCTCAGATATGTCCAGGCATTTGTTTCCATCAGGATTCTAAAACCCATAAAAATTGACAGTTACGATTAACCATCACAGAATTATGGAGTGATTTATCTTCCATTAATTGTAAGATAGATAGTACTGAGCTAGTTGGAGGAAGGTAAGGCATGTGGATGGTGTGTGAGGTGGAAGTGGGTGCTAAGTGAGTAGATAGTGTACTGGTTGGTTTCGTGTGTGTCAACTTGACACAAGCTAGAGTCATCAGAGAGGAAGGAGCCTCAGTTGAGGAAATGCCTTCATGAGATCCAGCTGGAAGGCATTTTTCTCAATGAGTGATTGACGGTAGAGTGCCCAGCCCATGGTGGTGCCATTCCTGAGCTTGTGGTCCTGAGTTCTAAAAGAAAGCAGGTTGAGCGAGCCAGGGGAAGCAAGTGATTAAGCAGCACTTCTGTGGCCTCTGCATCAGCTCCTGTCTCTGGGATCCTGTCCTGTTTGAGTTCCTGTGCTGACTTCCTTTAGTGATAAACAACAATATGGAAGTATAAGCCAAATAAACCCTTTCCTCCCCAACTTGTTTTTTGTTCATTATGTTTCATCACAGCAATAGAAACCCTAACTAAGGAGAGAGGTATAGAGTTGTTACAGAAATATTAAGTAAATCAGTAAACCATGGGAATTAATGATGTGGATTCAAGACCTTTACATTCTTTGATTTCTTCCTGCCTTGTTTTCTGAATTTTGTTTTCTCATTGCAGTTAGTAATAACAAATACGTTTGAATTAATTTATGGCTCTGGCTCTGGCAATTACCTTACAGCTGTCTCTAAATGTGACCAGGTGATTTCAGGTTTTAGAAAGTCAGAGTTGGGTTATATAGGGTATGGACAGCTGCTAGTGAAAATCAACGATAATGTGTGGAGAGTATGGGATGGGTATGTGTCTTAGTCACTGTTCTGTTGCTGTGAAGAAATATCATGACCAAAGTAACTCATATGAAAGAAAGCATTTAATTGGGGGAATCACAGTTTCAGAGGAGCATGCAGGTACGTGCTGAGCAGTAGCTGAGAGCTTTCCATCCTGATCCATAGTGGGGTTAGAGAGAGAGAGAGAGAGAGAGAGAGAGAGAGAGAGAGAGAGAGAGAGAGAGAGAGAGAGAAAGAGAGAGAGAGAGAGAGATAGATATGGATTTAAGGCCTACCTTCAGTGCTACACTTCCTCCAACAAGGCCACACCTACTCTAGGAAGGCCACACCTTCTAATCCTTCCAATCCTTTCAAATAGTGCCACTCCCTGATGACTAAGCATTCAAATATATGAGCCTATGGAGGCCATTCCTATCCAAACCACCTCAGCTTGTGTGGTGGCCATTGTACTGGGGAGCCCTTGGAAGATGCTGGAATTCTACTCTGTCCTAAAGGCACTGGACATACTGGAAATCACATTATTTCACTTCACTTCAGTTCAGTTACATTCAATTCCGTTGATTTTAGCTCATTTCATGCTTCAGCCAGTTGCACAATGAAAGTGGATCCAAAAATAGCACACAAATTATCAAAGGGCTCTGCTCTTAGGCAGCTGTAGTTTTGAAAGAAAACAAGAGTCTAATCTACTCATCTCTGCTCCTCCCTGGTTCTAAGACAAAAAGGAAGCTATCTTGCAATTAAAGGGGCTAGAGGTATGACTCACACAATCATGAAAGCAGCAACTAGCAAAAAACCATAACCATTATTTTGTAAAGGTAATCAAGATTTCTCAGAAAAAGATAACTTTCTTCAGAAAACCTTTTCCAAGATCAGTTCACACAGAAATCACATGAATCCTTTATTTATACTTATTCTTGCATATATGTATATTTCCTTGTTTAACATTTTTATTTTTTGAGAGTTTATTGTATTTTTAAAATTATAATTCATATTTCATCTATACTATTTTTCTGGAAATAAATAACTAAAATTAAAATGGGAAGTTAAGCATGTAAGTATGTGCTTTCAACTCACCTGACTTTGTGTTCAAATGATTTGTGTTCAAATTGGAGAATTGAATATATTGTACACACACATATATAGACACACTTATATTTATATATTATAAACCTTGTGAATACATTTTTTCCCTTACACGAATAGGAACAATAGTCTGACAAAGTTAAATTTGTAATCCTGACCCTGGAATAGGAGACAGAAAAGTTGACAGAGAGTGGACAAAATATGGGCCTGGCTGCACAAACCTAAAATCTCAGGTAACTTGGGAGTCTGAAGCAGAAATACTACAAATTCAAGGCTAGCCTGGGCTATAGAGTGAGTTCAGGATTAGTGAGCTCAAGGCCAGGCTGAGTAACTTAGTGAGAGCTTGTAATAGAAAGTTAAGAAGAGGGCTGGAGCTGTAATACAGCAATAGACTGTTTGCCTAGCACATGCAAGTCACTGGGTTCAATCCCCAATCATCCAAAATAAACCAACACATAAATACATGAGTAAAATAACTAAAAAAAGAATGCTAGAGATCATTGCATCAGTTTCAGTACAAATCTCATGCAGTTGTGAGATAGAGACACCTTCAGATGTGAAATTCAAGTGGTCTCAAATGCATTCATGATTATTGAGTTAGGTAATGGAGGCCTCAGCCAACTTTTAATAAAACCTACAACTTGTAGACTTAATGAGTTAGCCACAAACCACTGGGGATGAAACCACAGCCTGATGAAATCAGATTCATGGCTTCATTGCCTAGAGGGTGGGCTCCTTGAAAGAGCCAGGAGAATGTGCCAGGTGGAAGGGTCCCGGAAAGCTTTGGCTCTCTGGAAGCCTTCTGAGCATTGTTCCCAGAAACCAGTGGGAAGTCATTCTGGATTATTTGCTGCTCCTGTGATGATGGGATTAATGCAAGAAGATGAAGTTAGAATAATGTTCTGTAGTGAGGGGAAGGCATTTAGCAATTGTGTGTCCCTAGGAATCAGTCATACTTGAGTGAAGTGTATCTGTGAGCGCTGCTGTTGATGAAGCAGTTGTCACTTAGGAAGGGGTTGTTACGGTGCTGGGCAGGGGCTGTGTGACCTGGGAGAAGTGCAGTCTCCTGTTAGTCACACAGCTGACTTCAGGATCCACTCTCCACGGCTGATGAGCGATGGGTTCCTGGCTTCTTTTCTTTTAGCTTGAGTTGAGATTTCAGTCTTACCTGTCTGGATGAGTTCTTTTTTCACTATGGCGTATATCTGTGTGTATGTATGTACAACATGTAAATTTTACACAGATGTATGCCAGTCTTGGAAGTAGACTCTCAACTCATTCATTCATTTATTCAAATATTCACATTTAGTGCTAATAGATGCTTACAGGTTTCAGGCCAGAAAACATTCTATTTTTAAATTTTAGAGATGCAGTAGGTTGGAGGTGAATCTGGAGCTCCTGACCCATTGGTTTCTTTGTTTTGTTTTTTACTGTGTTTTAAATATTCAGAGGCATATCTTTTCTGCATGAGTTTGTGGGAAAGGAATGTACTAGAATGTACAGAGGCCAGTATGAGACCTCTCCTAGGGACGGCTCTGTGCAACTTTCTCAGAAGGCAAAGCTTAGTTACTAGCAGAGATTCTCCACTTGCTGCTGTTAGTAGAAAGGCGACGTCTGCCTACCCTGCAGGTGTTGTCCACATACCGAGGCTGCATTAATGCATTGTTTCATGTCCTGACAAACCAAAGATTGCAAACATGGTGGGCACATAGTAATTATTTCCCTGTCACAAGATGGAAATCTTGATGATGGATGGAATGTCTCCACCTTCAATTTATAAGTTGTGTGACCAAGATGTTCCTCTGGAAATAGATAAATGTCTTGTTCTGTCAAAATCCCATTATTCTGATTTATTTGGCTAACTTTTATGATGTCAAAGAAGTTACTTGATAGATTGGGATGAATTTAATCTTATTTATTATTTATTTGGATTCCTGATTAAAATTAAGGAATTGCCTAACAGCCCCCTGGAGTGAGAGTGTTGATTGTTCTTCCTCTTGTCTCTTCATTTCCAATTATTTGGGGCCAGTCTGAAAGTGGACGCCAGTTACTTTGAACTACTGACAAAGTAACTCAGTGAAACTGTCTGAGAATTGCAGGGTGAATTGTCTTAGCTCTTTTCTGAAAGTTAATGGCAAAGACATCATCGTGGTATCACCTTTTAATTACAATTTCTATTACAGCTAGCAATCTATCAGGTCCGACATGCTTCAAATTAAATTGGGGCCTAAAACTTGAAAAAGAAGAGGGCTAGCATGAAATAGATGCCTGAATCAAGTAAATTAAATGCACATGAAGATTAAATCATGTTCATTTAGCATCTCAATGTAACAAAATTAAACAAGAAAAGTAAACTTGAAGGCTTAAAAACATTAACTTCTAAAAACAGTTCCAGTTTTCAGTGTCTGAAGAGCATTCTACTGTCCTTTGCACTAACATCTGTGTCTCACGGGGTTTGAATTGTTTGTTTCTCAGATTTTAGGTTTGGCTTTACTGAGGAAAAGACACAGAAATTACCCATTATCTCTTTCAAAATAAATAAGAATTAAAGCTTATTCATTTGGTCATAAGTTTTCAACATGTGGGCCTTTCAATCTCTTTCACAGGGGTTACCTAAGACCACAACATGAAGAACTGTATTAAAGTGTCATAGCATTAGGAAAATTGAGAACTGATTTAGACCC